ATTTATTGTTCTTCAGCTTGTGTGAACTATTAAACCTGTGGATACCAATAAGAAAATGTGATTGGGATTTTGTGTATTGTCTTCCATCATTCTTCAGTTGCACTTACGTTTTACACCTCTTCACAATAATGGTATCTCAATAGTCAATTGTTAAGTATGATTCGAAGTTCCCATGGTCTCCGTGGATTCAATATCTAAATAATATTGTGGTCTATTGTACATTTGCAGTGTTTTTTGGGCTAAAACATGAGTTTATAGATATAACCGTTTTTAATAGAGGTATATAGTATATATTTTCAAAATGAGCTTTCGTAAGCAATAGAGGGTAAAGATAATTGTATTATGCTAAAGGTTAACGGGAAAATGGTATTTTCATGCTTGTACAATCTGCAAAGTTTGTTTTCCTACCTGAACAAGCCCGTAGAGTTAATTCCAACCCGAACCGCAAAAAAATATTGAATTTCATACCAAACTTTACATTTAGTGTTTTATTCGAAGTCGTAATTAACAAGTGTTAGTTAGCCGTTACGGTTGCTGAATCAGTTGACACGTGTTTGATGACATGACTTAAAACGACGTCGTATGGTTTCTTAGAGTTAGAGTACTAATTTTTTTTTGCAAAAATCGGGTCTCGAACCCCTGACACCTCACTCGTTTACACAGTCCATAATCCATAACCAGTGAGATTTGGGGGTTCAAGACCCGATTTGTACAACAATTTTTTTTTTAACTCCAAACACAAACATGTAATAAAAGGATTTACAATTGTTTTAAAGATTTTTGTAAACCCTTGTAAAATCCTTGTAAAAAATCCTTGTAAAATCCTTGTAAAAAATCCTTGTAAAATCCTTTTAAAACATGTTTTAAAAGAATTTACAATTGTTTTAAATGATTTTAAAAGGATATACAAGAGTTTTAAAAGAATTTTATAAGGGTTTTAAAAGGATATACAAGCGTTTTAAAAGGGCTTTCAAACGATTTATAAGGGTTTTTAAAGAGTTTTAAAACGATTTAACATCATTTACAAGAGTTTTAAATGATTTTATAAGGGTTTACAAAGGGTTTTAAAGAGTTTACAAGAGTTTTTAAAAGATTTTTAAAGGATTTACAAGTGTTTTAAAGTTTTAGAAGGGTTTTAAAACGATTTATAAGCGTTTTTAAAGGGTTTTAAAATGATTTACAAGGATTTTATAAGGGTTTACAAACGGTTTTTTAAAGATTTAAGGGTTTACAAGGGTTTTAAAAGCTTTTACAATGGTTTTAAAAGGATTTTAAAAGGGTTTTTAAAAAATTTACAAGGCTTTTAAAAGGATTTTATAAGGGTTTTAAAAAGATTTTCAAGGATTTCGAAATTTCTTGACGAATTATTTTTTTGCGGGAAAAGTTTGAGTGTCACGAAAAAAATTTGGCAGGAAAAATATTTATTGGCGCCAAAATTCATTTTGGCGGAAAATTTGACTTTGACATTATCTTATGTAACTAAAAAAAGGTAATTTAGTCATTTAGCACATAAGAAGGGGTATTTTTAGAAATGGACAATAGGATAGAGTATTTTTTAAAAAGGACATAGGAAAACGGATATTTTTACAAATGCTCCTTAAAAATGGAAAGAGGGTATAAATGAAAATGACTAGAAAAAAGGGTATTTTTGAAAACGGATATCAAAGAAAGTGTATTTCTAGCAATTTCTCTTAATTTATAGTAATATTTTATTAATTTATCTATAAATTAATATCTAATAATTTGTACAGTAAATTAATATTTTTTAATTTATAGACAGTTTAGTTTTAGTTTTTCAAATTTTTTAAAAAATTATGAATTAAAAAAGTTTGATCTTAAATAAAATTAATGTTTTGGATGTTATAAATTTTATAGTTTTAGAAAAATTGTTTAATATTTCGAAGATAAAACAATTTGTTTTTACAATGAATAATAACGATAATCAAGTATAAAAGATTTATAAGAATCTCTCTTCTCTCTCTATTCTCTCTCTCTTTATTCATAGGCGAAAACCCTAAAATTTCTAGATCTGCCTCTCCGGTTCACGGCGCTCCTCGCCTATGACCGGAGAGGGCTCCTTTCTTGTTGTTTCTTGGCCGATCTGATCTCCAATCAAGCTTTTCAAGGGAGAGCTGAGGTTTTTGGCGATTTCTCCTTTAGCTTTTTCATCTCGAGTCCTCCTCTTTAGCATACTTCGGTGGTGGCGACGAGGAAAGCTCCCTGGTTTCTGGCGGTCGGAGCTTCAGCCTCTTTGAGGCGGTGGACTGCTTAAGGACGGTGGTTCCGGTCCTCTCTGAAGCTTCGGTGTGTTTCTCCTCCTTGAGATTCACGGCTGGCGGTGGTTGCTCAAATCTGAAGTTCTGCGGTGTGGTGGCGGTGGTGCGAGGATGTACGGTGCTGGACGGCTAGTGTTGGTGGTGGAGCTCCTCGCCTTTGTTAACCTCCGGATGGTATCCCCTGAGATGGCGTAGTTGCTCCGAGGACGGCATCTAGTCTCTCTTCGATCGTTCCGTCGAAGTTCTGGTGTGGCAAGGTTTTTTCTCCTCATTTTGGTCACGGCGGCACAGTCGATATGGTGGAGTGAGTCTGTTGGTCCCTGTTAGGTTTCCGGTGTGAGTTGATCGGATTCTATCGGTGTGCTCAGCCTTCTCCGAAAGAGTCTCGGCAAAGGGTTTTTCTCGGTGTTAGTGTGCTTCTTGGTGTAGGGTTTCTGGTCGCTTGGTCTCCTCCGAGTAGGGACTCGACGGATCTAGGCCTGGATCCGTCGAGTGCGGACGCCGGAATCCGTGGCGGCTCCGGTAGCTGCTTCTAGGTTTAACCTAATTTTGGCTTCAGTTGGTTCGTGGGCTTGGTGGGCCGTTGGGCCTATTAATGTTTATGAGCTGTCTCTCTTGTTTGGGCTTGTTACCATTTTTATGTTTGGGCCTGTTTTATTTGTTTGTTTTCTTTATGTTTTTAATTTCTGTTTCTCATTTGTAAGGGCTTAGCCCAATATGTTTGTATCCATCTATGATCCTAAAAAGTCAATAAATATGAAAACCCTTTGACAAAAAAAATGAATAATAACGATTATAGAATTCACATATACAAATGATATGCATAAATTTAAATTTAGAAATATTGAAATCCATTTTTGTATTTGTAAAACCTATATGACTATTAAAACAGTAATTATGCATATTCAAATTTTGAAAACTTTATTTTTGTAAAAAAGACACTATATATATATATATATATATATATATATATATACAAATTTACATGACTATTAATTTCTGATATTATTGAGACTATATTTTACATAGAAAATTTTAGGAATAATGATCTTAATATCTTATCGAATTTGGTTAATTTTTACATTGGTCCGACTTGGGACCGGTAAAATTTATTATTCTATCGTGTTTATTAATTTATCGAGTATTAATTTATAGAGGTTTTACTATATGTATATTTTTAGGGAGACTCACAAAAATGCCCTTTTTTCAATACCCCTTTTCAAAAATACCCCTTTTTTAAAACTTTATAAAAAATGCTCTTAAAAATATAAGATTTACCCAAATATGTATGTAATATTATTAAAACATACACAAACTACATTTCTATGTATCTAAAATCTTATAAATACTTTATAAATACCTTATAAATGCATTTTAAATACCTTTAAAATATCTTGTAAAAGCTTTGAAAAACCTTAAAAATCCTTTAAAATAACTTGTAAAACCTTTAAAAACACCTTATAAAACCTTATAAATACTTGGATCGAGTCTTCAAGTAGTAGTTACAATCCATAAGTACCTTATAAACCTAATAAAACTTTATAAAAATTTCAGATTTAAAAAGGGGTATTTTTGAAAATGGACATCTAAAAGGGGCATTTTTGAAAAGGGGCACACCAAAAGGGGTATTTTTAACAATTTCTCATATTTTTATCAATATTTCATGATTTTCAACAAAATCACATAATTCTTGTCATGATGTTCCATATATTTCATATTATTTAATAAAATAGCACGAATTCTTACAACAATGTTTAAAGAAATATTTACTCAGATGTTATAGAAAGGTTGGAATATTACTAGCATATCATACATTTTTAAAAAATTAATCATATGTGTAGCGTCTTTGTGTAAATTACAATTAACACCCTTGATTAGTTTTTTTTTTAATTGAGATTTTTTTTATTCTTTTTATAATCCACGTCACTAAAAGAAATAAAATTAAAGCCACGCATTAACTTTCGGCTGAGTTATAATGCTTCACGGAAGACGAAAAGTTGCGTAAATTTACATGTCACGGCTGAGTTATAATGCTTCACGGAAGACGAAAGGTTGCGTAAATTTACATGTCACGGCTGAGTTATAATGCTTCACGGAAGACAAAAGGTTGCGTAAATTTACATATTACGGCTGAGTTATAATGCTTCACGGCTGACTTATCTTCAATATACTAAATGATGAAATTTAATACTAGCATTAACTGTTATTTTCAGTTTGCTAATTAATTTATTTTCCAATTTTTCTTTTATTAATTATTATTTCCTGTTTTTTATATATTACGAGTTACGACTGAGTTATAGTGTTTCACAGCTGATTTATTGGAGCATTGCGGCTGAGTTAGGATAACATTATGGCTGATTTGTCACGAATAGACATAAAACACATAAACCAACAGTCATGTTCGCCATTATCCGAAAAGAAGATTCCTGCAAACAATACTACGTCGGACAAGTTTTAGCATTATGCCCAACTTGTTTACATCGAGAACATGCGTAGCTCAGCTTTAACTGATGGCTCAACTCCTTCAATCCGTAGGCATCAAGCACCAACTTCACAAGCTTGTCGTGCGTTGATTCCGCATCTATCTGCACAACTCTACACCCTCTATCGTCGGTGTTAAATACATATTTGTGTTTTTTACCCAATTACCGGAAACAACAATTATCAGAACCGGATCAGTCATATCGGGATAAGGATGAACGAAAATGAAGAAGAAGGAGTAAGACGGACGAGTCGAGTGAAATTTAAGTTCTGGTGATGTGAAAAATACAGGTGAAGATCGACACGAAGAAGAAGAAGACGAGTCGAAAAAGACCTTTCGTATTTCCCTTGATGATGATGACATGGAATGTTGCATCCGACGTCATTTTTTAATTGATGAAGTGGCAAGTAAGCCACCAAACGAAAATGTAAATCAGCCTAATTAAACCAGCCATAAAACAAAACTTTAACTCAGTCGCAACACTATAACAGTAATAAAAAACGAAAAATCGGCAGTCAAATTCAGCCGTTTAATGTCGTAACTCAACCAAAAATCTTTAACTCAGCCGTGTCGTTTAATAAGTCGGCCGTCATTGCATGCTATTCTAGTAATTAATCTTTCGCTACTAAGTCCGCCGTAATTAGGCCGAGTTTTCCGTTAATCCAGCTCATTACGGCTGATTTATGACACTCGAACATAAATAAGCCGTAACGTCATCCCATAACTAAGCCGTCTTTGATAACTCAGCCAACCGGAGAAAGTTAAGTCAGCCGTGTCGAAGCAATAACTCAGCCAAAAATTTGACAAATCAACCATCGGTGAAAACTCAGCCGTAACTTAGGCTGGGTTATGCTCGAAAGTCAGCCATTTTCTCATAACTTAGACAGATTTCAGTAAGTCAGCCGTAACTCCAGGCTGGGTTATACTTGTAAGTCAGCTGTTTGCTCATAACTCAGCCGTTTTCCTTAAATCAGCCGCAACATACCGTAACTCAGCCGTCACTGCCGCTGTATCGATTTACGGTTGAGTTCATTAATACACGTCAGCGTTTTGACGTGGCGACGCGGCTTTGCTGACGTGGCAGTGGCATTCTTTTTAATTACGTTTTTTCCTGTAATGTTTAACATGGGCACGCTGGGTATAAAAAATATACCCGAAATATGATAGTAATAAAAAAAATCTTTATGTTTCTGGTCATTTCACCTAATTTGTATAACATCTAAGTAACTTTCCCATGTTTAAATTTGTCAATATACCATGTTATTCACCAAAATCACTTTCATTTTTTTGCAATAACACACTATTCATTTTAATATGGGAACTTATTTGTATATCTAACATGCTATTTCTTAAAAATACATATAAGTTTCTCTTATATATCGATTTTTTTTTTCGATATTACACGCGGTCTAACCTGAAAGTAAAATAAAGGGTGATTTCGTCAATTAACTTCCTCTGAAATGTGGGTCCATGGTTAGTTTCCAACAAATAAAAGTCTTATGGCTAATTTCTTAATTTCTTTCACAAAATTTGACCTTTCTCTAATATTACCAAAAAAACGATAATTTTTTTAGTACTGACATAGGTAGTTTCGGAAAAGGTCAAAGTTTTGATAAAAGAGATTTCTTTCCTAGAAAAATCATAAATCTGAATCCAAGCCAAAACAAGTAAATCAGAATTTAAAAAAAAAATAATGACAAAACTTCTTTAAATAAAAAACATACCATTTAAATTTTTTTTTCGGAAAATATAAATCTAATAAACTAATCCCTAATTGCATTTTATATTTCTTTCTCTTTATATTAGTCGCCGTCTCCTCTCTCTCGGGTTTCACTCTCTCTGCTTTTTCTGTCTCTATCAGTCGTGTTTCACTCTCTCTGCTTCGTCTGTCTCTATTAGTCGTGTCTCTCTCTTGCCGCCTCTTTTTTCCTTTCGTACCACCAGTGGGTACGTTTATTTTCCTTTTTTCGTTGATTTTTCTCTCAATTTGAAAATTCTCATACGAGTTCGTTTATATAAATAGTGTTTAACCAAATATTTTCTGTTATTTTGGTGTTAGATTTGTATTTTTCAATCTATTAATGCTAAAAGATTGTTTAATTTAACATTAGTAGGACCAAAATTGGTTAATTGGCCTTATTTTGTCTATTTCAGCCGAATCTCCGGAATTTCATGGCATACAAGGCACAAGTAATAAAAAAGCTCAATGAAGAAGTGTGTCTTACGGCATGTAAATTTTGGTAAATTGATTTTTTCTTGTGTTCTATTTTTTTTTTAATTATTTTTCTTGTGGTCAATAAACTATTTTTTCTTGTGAATTTGCTCTCAAAACTATACTATTATTTGCCAGGCCTGCATACTGTGACGCTGAGCTCCAACCAACGGATTTAAAAGAGTTATTGCCACGCCTGATTCCAGTATAATGATACTTCTCCTTTAATTTTTTTCTAGCATTTTTTGGGAACATTGAACCATTTTCATAAAATTTCATTTGGATTTTATTAGATGTTTTTATTATTATTATTAGATGTTGCTCTCAGACATGGCTTATGAAGATGATGATGAGACACTTTCCAATGAAGAGGTATATTTTCAGTTGGTATTATATGTTTTTCACCATTTTTTAAATTATATAATTATAATGTACGAAAGCAATTCACTTTTGCAGGAGGATAAATCTCAACCAGACATAGATAAGGTTTAGTTTTATGTTCTTGTGACTTCACTTATTCTTACAAATAATTTTTATTCAATTTTCATTCATTAATTCTAATATTTTCATATGATTTGAAACCTTGTTTTCCATTAATATCTATTTATTTAGGGTCATTTGATATATGCACACAAGTTGTGTATATGATAATATATGAGTTATACAATATAAATATATTAATTCCATACATCATTTTTTAATGACTATCTCTAGGCACAAAATGATAACGAGTGGAATTTAAGAGCATGCAGTGCAAAATTTATTGGCATTCTCGCTAATGTATATGGAGATGAAATCCTTCTAACACTCATGCCTCTAATTAAGGTAAATATTATTTCTCTCTCGGTCTATGGAACTGAAAACAATTAGCTCTAACATGTTTTTTTCCAATCTTCAGGCAAAACTATCAAGATATGATGATGAGACTTGGAAAGAAAGGGAAGTTGCTGTTTATGCTCTTGGAGCTATTGCTGAAGGATGCAAAAAAAGTTTCTACCCTCACTTGTCTGAGGAAAGTTTTCGTTTATGATCTTTTGTCATTTCATAATTCTTTCTTCATTAATTTAAGTTCATTAATATATATGCTAGTGCCTTGTTACAGATTGTAACAATCCTTCGTCGCCTTTTAAATGATCAATTTCCTCTCGTACGACGAAAAACGTGCTGGACACTTTATCAATTTGGCACATATGTTATTGAGGTATGATTTGAACATGATATTTTTTATTCTATTTATTTTAAAAAAATTTAGATGATTCGATACTTTTATTTTATAGGAAAATAATTCGGAGAATAGTGAACTCTTTAGAAAAGTTCTTAAGGGTCTTCTTCTCAAAGTTTTGGATACGGACACTTGGGTCCAGGAAGCTGCATGTTTAGCTTTGACAACTCTTGAAGAGGTAACTATTTTCTTCGCATTGTTGTATGTTATGTCATGTGTAAAGAACTTTTAGTAATGTTTAGCATTAGCTTATTACCGTCATACCTGAAAAAACTTGAAAGAACCTCTAAGCTTGAAGAAGAATATGAAAGAACAAAGATACTTGAAAGATTCTTAGAGAAGTTTAGAGAACTTATGTTTAGGAACACTTGATTAAAAATGGAAAGGAAGAAACTATTTATAAGATCCAAAAGTAAAAAATAGCTAACAAACCGTGTCCTATTCTTTAGAACAGTCTACCATAATATATGTATATCTATCTAGGTACAAAATATACTCTATCATAATATGTAGACCTTTTACTGTAATATCTAGATATTTATTTTATAAATATTTATATTCTTATACGTAAATATTTAAATATTTGTCGATCTCATGCGATCGAATAAAAAAGTCGGTTCGGTTTTGGTTCTGGTTCTTTTGGATCCGGGTCGGTTTCAGGTATAGATTTTCAGAACCGCTAAATATCCGCCATATAAATGTTCGGGTAAATTGTCGGGTTTTTGGGTAATATTCGAGTTTTCGGTTAAATACCCGATTTTTGGGTAATTATTCAGGTTTTCGGTTAAAAATTCAAATTTTGGGTTTTCGAATAAAACAATTGGGTATTTTTGGATTCAGGTTTGGGTCGGGTTCGGGTTCGGGTTCGGGTTCGGGTTTGGGTTTTCAGGTACATATGTATATATATATGAGTTTATGATCCAATAGGGTAAATCTAAATTTTCGGGTTCGGTTTCGGGTCGAATTTTTCGGGTTATCATGGATTAGAGAGACATTCTCAAAAAGAAGAAGATAGAGAAATGCTAAAAATTAATGTTAAGAACTGATTTTTTGGCTCTTATATAAGAGCTAGTTCTTAGGATTTAAGCTAATTATTCATTTAATTTTTGTAAAAATTAATGCTAAGAACCTCTTAAGAATCTCCTGTTGAAGATGGTCTAAGGTGATATTTTCTATAGTATTTCTTGAAAAAGTGTAGAAGTTGGACCTATTTAGTCCAGTTAAAGATAAATTCATCATGAGCCCATAGTTAAGTTCCATCCAAAATCAAGTTTAATTTTAATAATATGGATGACAGTTGACAAAAGTGATTTTTTTTGTGAACATGTAGGATGCTGCTGGTGAAAACCTAGTACCATACCTGAAAAAAATATTAAAACAGCTAATGCGCGCTTTTGGGAAGTATCAGGTCGTTAAATCTTCTTTGTGGCAACTATTATAAACTTCAAACAAAATTTTATTTGTGACTACCTAACACACTATTTTCATATATCCAGAGACGGAACTTAAAAGTTCTTTTTGATGCTATCAGAGCACTAGCAGATTCAGTTGGAATCGATCTGAATAAGGTATAGTGATTAGGTTTTTGAAAGGTTAATTTGTTCTTGTAAATTTAAATCTTTATATTAGTACTTATAAAATTTTCTACCTACTTAACACTAACCCGTTATGCAGCCTGCTTATCTTAATATTTTGATTCCCCCACTGGTTTGGACGTCGGAACAAATTTCAGATTCAGATAAAAATGTAATTCCATTGCTAAAGTGCTTCACATCCATTTCTAAGGTATGTTACTACTTCTCAAGCTCCTTAAGGTCTTTAATCTATTACACGTACGAATGGAATTAGTTTAAATAATTCTAGTAAGTGAAGGTACTGAGATTTTGGTAGTTTGGAAGTCCGATATTGCTACTAATATTGGGAGATATG